CCCCAAAACCCCAAAACCCCAAAACCCCACTTTAAACAATGATTATGATCTTTTGTTTTAATTAAATAATGAAATATATTGTTAACTTATATCAATTAGCAAATCATAGTCATAACACAAATTTTATCTTGGAAGATGTATTTATGTAAGTTCAATTTCAGATCTTGTTATTAAATTATTTGTAAGAATTTCTTCTTAAGAAAGCCTTATGGTCCTACCCAGTCAAAGACGGCTTTTTATCTGTGTTTAACGTTCTCACTCCAGACTGTTGCCTCTACTTCTATGAATAATATTAGATGATAGAATGTATTTACCCTTTGAGATGAAGAGTGTTTTGGATTGTTAAGATTTGTATTTACTTTGTTTATATTAACTGGCTTTTTCTCAGAGATCAATACTTTCTCATTTTACCCTAAAGCCTAGTTATTTAAGGAGGATCCATCTTAGTAGTAATTTGGATTAGCCGTATGATATTTAGTTTTCAGTACAGGAAAAAGCAGTTCAGTCCTAAAATGCATTAACAATTAAAAACAATTGCTTACTTTCCATTACTTATCATTTGATTTTAATTGGTTTGCAGACTACTCTAAGCAAGATTTGTAATGGGATTATGCATTGGCGAAGGCATACCATTTCTTTAAACAGATCCTTGAATAGTATAGTGTTAATTAGGAGTTCCATCCATTCCTCTGTTACTTAGTTTCTTCACGCTAGATTAATCAATAGACATTGAATGTATTCTTTGATCAGCAGTGAATTAATTATTTTTGAATGATGTGTTATTTAGCTATTTCTTAATTTGTGGTTAACCAGAATTATCAGACAACTTAAAACTGTTAGATGATATTTCTTGCTTGACCGACTTTATTTATTACTGCTATTATTGTTGCTACTGCTAATTTTAATTGTTATTTTAAACATTGATATTGAATAGACCATTCCTATTGCTTTGATCTTAGATTCTCTAATTCTAAGGGCTTCTAAAGTTTTTGCCAATTTCATTATTATTCTGACCTATCATGTTATTATATCTACTGTTGCCATCTGCATGAACAGTTGAAGTTGGGCCAATTATATTATTCATATTCTAGGTCACAGTAGCACTTCCACTAACTCCATTATAGTTTTGAGTGGGAGTTCTGGCAAACTATTAGAAATTTTTCTATGCTTTTAATTTTAGTGCATTTTCTGGTTGTTTAAGAAGTGTATTCGCATACTATTGATGACTAAGCATTCTGCTTTTAATGATTGAGTAATCACTTCTATCTGTTTAGGTCCATCGATCTACCATTTCTGGCTTCGGCTTCTTTTTGGGAGGCTCTTTTTCTTCCTCTAAAGCCTCTTCCTTAATTTCATTCATTTCCTTTTTCTTCTTTTCTTCTTCAATCTGAGGGAATTTTACTATAGACTTCTATTTCACAGGTGGTTAAGGCTCAGGCTTTTTTTACTATTCTTTTGGTACTAATTACTCAAGCTACTATTTAGAAGGTAGCTTTTTAAGTTGCTTTTTATTCTTGTTTTAATCCTTCTATTACTGCTGCTTCTTCTTTTAGATTTTTTAAAGATCTTACTTGGTTTTCTTATCTAATATTGGAATAATCTTTACTATTTCTTCGGCATTTAAATTATCCTCAGAGGGGGCACTATCACTACCGCTTGTAGAGTCACCATCACCTTTTTTTATTAGCTCCTTATTTTACTTTAACTCATCTGTCAATATAGACTTAATTGTATTCTATTTCGGGGGTTCTACGACCAAGTCCTCTTTACTTAAATGAAATTAAAAGTTTAAATGAGACTTACAATTTCTTCTTATCTAAAGTTTCAGCATTTATATTTCTAATCGGAGAGCTAGTAAAATACTCTAAATTCTCTAGCTCATTAGGAACATAAATATCACTATAAACCAGAATCGTTCTGCAAAGATCTCGGCCTAAAGACTCAAGATCATCTGTAGTAATATGCATTCCCTTCTTCGGTCCCTGAGTAAAAGAATGATTATTAGCAATGTACTTACTTTATCCATTCCTGAAAATGTACTCTCCATTGTGAAGATATTCGGGCATGTTTTAAGTTCCTTGTACAAGCTAATTCTAGCTGTTGATTCTTTACTTTTTTGAACACCAAACCTTGAATACTCGAATGAGAAAAATGGACTTAGTTTGGACAATAAATATGGAAAAATTCTGCATTCCTCTGGAATTTTAACATTATTGCAACCATACATAAAGACATTCTGTTTTCTTGAATGACCATGTAGATCACAAAACATAAGAACTCCTCTTTCAGCATGAAGACTTTTAACCATTTTTTTAGTGTGATAGATCTCAGGATGAATAACTTTCGAAGGCGTCTTCCATCTTCTATTTAAATCACATCCTGCTAAGGAACATCTATAATTTCCATTGATAACTCCATCTGGATTCATCATTGGGATGATTTTAAAAACGAAATTTTCTCTTAATAATCGAGCTTCAATATTGTGGGGGTCAGTAATAAACTTAAGGACTCCTCTCATCATCCATGATCCTACTGTTTCGCCTGGATGAACTCTTGCAGAGATTATTACTGCTTTTCTCTTGTGCATATTTTCACTTTTATCCCTAGATGTTACAGTTAAGTATTCACAGTTTACACCAGCCAATGACTTGCAAAGGACTTTCCTTGATACAAATCTAAAATATAAAATTTTCACAAATTTTACTAATTTTTTAAAGGATCCATATCAATTTGAATTAGATCCTCTACTAAGTCAGAGTAAGTATAAGGGTAACAATATGAAAAGAAAACAGTGTCATTATCATACTCAAAGTCATGAGTAAAAGTCAAAGTGTAATAATATCTGTTTAGAATAAGATCTTTTTTTATTCCATTTGGGTGATAGGATATATTTCTGCAACCTCTGTGCCATCCTACCTATTTCTCGCTTGCCTTTTTCTCTGAATAATAAGTTACTCTCATGCCATAATTAAACAGTGAATCAGGTTTTAACTAGAGCAATTTAATTACAAGTTATACTTACATAATTAATGATATTGAATTTTATTGTTTACCCTCTTCTAGTGTTTTATACTCTAAAGTAAAACCATTGGGTATGCCCTTAAGTATTTATATCATTTTGCATAAGTAAATTGTATTCACCATCATTTAGTTTCTGGGCAAGGTAGAGATTTCCACTTTCGAACTTGCTTTCAAACAGCAATGTCTTATCGTATGAATCAATCAATTAGTATGATTATGAGTCAATCTCTAAGGCCATTCTCATTTCTGATTATTATCACTTCAATAGCTTTTTCCTTTTCATCTCATTTCTTGATGAGTCCTCTGCTACTGTTGTCTCAATCATACTTGCTTATTCCTTAATAAGTTGCTTGATATCCAAGATGTTTTCATGTTACATTAAATTTTTCAAATTTAAACACGACACTCTATCATTTAGGATTGAAGGATCTCTGCAATAGACAATATTGTTGACAAATTACGGGACTTCATTTTCATAGGATTATGGATTAGAGGGATAATTCATAATCTCTGAAGGATCTTGAACATTACTGATCTCTGTGAATCTTTTTGGTCTAGCTGTAACTCTATCAAATCCATCACCCATTTTATCTATTTTGGGATTTTCAAATACCAAAAACTTTTTAAGCTGTCTATAACTGTTAATTTCGACGAAATTTACATGAAGTTTATTGTTTTAATTGGACATTTAGGTGGTTCATAATCTGGACATAAAAACTTTGGTAAAATTGGTAATGGTGGGGGAATATGCTTCATGAAACTGGAGTTAAGGACTGCTTCCTCCTGATTAGAGTATTTACTTTTAGAGTTCGCACCGTTATTTCATTAATTAATACTTTCTGTGTCACTATCATTACTTGAATGATTGAATATGTAAGATTCAGATTAGTCTAAAGCGAATCCCTTTTTGGGCTTATAAATAGCTCCGGCCAAGTCATGAGGTTTCTTAGGACTATTCGTCTTGGAGTTTGAACTCTCTGGTAATTTCAAATAGGAGAGATCGGATGACTTCATCGAGTCTGCTAAATTATTCTTTTAAGCCTAGTATTATTATGACATTTTAATTATAATTTTTGAATTATTAATTTAATCATGATGAAGCAAAAACAAATGAATTTCACCACAGGAGAATTTAAACCTGAAAAATTAAGTAATTTCTTAATGTTTGGAGTTAAACTCTTGGTTAGGTTAATTGTAAAAAGCACTGCTTGTGAGATGGATAAATACCCTTGACATCTGGGAAATTTTAGATCAGGATAATATAATAGAAGAACTTAAATCAGGAGTGTTGCTCTGCCTAATATTAAAGTTCCATCAACCTAATTTAGACTTTACTGGACTCTCAATGAAAGCAAGAGTGAGAAAATAATGCGTCAATAATATTGAAAAAGCATTATCAATACTCTATCAAAAGGGAGCATCTCCTAGATGTAAATATTTTTGATGGTTATTTAAGCTACTTTAGACATTCCCACTGCAGATGATATCTATGAGGGAGAAAAAAATCCAGAAAAGATATGGTTGATGCTTCACTCAATTTTCGATATGTTTGCCATGCACGATGTGAGGGTCTTAACACCTAAAATCATAAAATGGATAAATAAAAGTCTGTAGCAGTTCGGAAGCTACAAAAGCCATTTGATGATGGGTTAAAAACAGGAGGAAATATATGAGGAGTTCAAAAGCGGATTAATTTTAGCTTTGCTATTCTTACTCTATGTTGAGAATGCAAGTTTAAGACCTGACCTCAGAGAGATGTATGAGCATCCTCAAAATAGGTAATAATTACTATCAATTAATCTTTTAATATAGGACTGAAGTTGAACACAATTTAAATTACATCTTCAAACTAGCAATCGAAAATAATGTGCCTATATATTTTAGATCATAGGAATATTTGGACTTTGAACAGTATAACTTTTTCATGCTCCAACTTTACTATCTTTACTGCAAATTCAAAGACTCTAGACCACTATTTACACCTTCAAGCCTTCCTCAATTAACTTTTAAAGACGAAGGAAGAATTCTTGAAGATAACTCATAGTCATCAAGCCACCCAACACCTCAAAGATCAAGAGATGATCATGTAGATAGCTTGTCTTCAGAAATGAAAGTAAACTCAATGGGTGTGATAGATGAAGTAGATAGCGTAGATTTCAGTTCCACCATGAAATCTAATCAGTAGAAAACATCAAACACTCCAAGTCTTGTTAGTAATGCTAACTATCTTTAAGATAAATAAAATTAAATTCGAACTTAAGATTAAGTTTAGAGATAATAACAATAGCAACAGCAATATCCAGACAGCTTTAAAAAGGTAGGCAAGATTAATTAAGATAAGGTTTAACAATATCTAAATTAAGCCTAGTAAAATTACTATCCACGAGACACTAGAAATAGCAGCCATGATGAAGAAGGCAATGTAGATGATGAAGATGATGACAACTTTCAAAACTCAGATAGAAGTAGAAGTGGCTCTAGTCTGAATGATTTTAACAAGATACAATAAAATCTTAAGAAGGCTTCATAAAATAGCATAATGACATAGCAGAATTCTTAACATAAAGTCAATACATAGAGTAGTCATAGACATCAGAATTCTTAAAATGTCATTTCAAGAGACAGTAATCTTTACTAAGTAGTAAGTGATGATAAGTTTGGTATATTCTAAAATATTGATCCTAGTCCTTTATAATCGCAAGTAATGGAGAATAATAGCAAAAATTAAAATTAAAATCAGATTCCTCCATAGATTTTGAATGCAGAGCCATTTATTTAAGAGCGCAAAGGACTATTCTAAGAGGATTTAAGAGTTCAAATATCAATGCAAAAACTTAGAAGTGAAAAGAAATTTGAAATAAATGAAGACCAATTAACTCAGATGTACTACTCCTCTGTAGGAAATTAAACAGCTCAGTTCATAAATTAAAACTTTAGCACTCATGGGGAAAGACATCCTTATGGAACTTCGGGTGATAATAATACTAATATAAACTCTGTTACATCTAATCATCTTGCTCTCTAATTTAATAATCCTACAAAACATAGCAAGAGTGATAGCCTAATGGGAGGTAACTTTATTGCTAATAGAACTAATTTGGAGAGTGTTGTTTAAAATCACAATAATATTGTTGATACGGATAGGTTGAGAATAATTGATGAGAATGGTGATTTAGATGAGCTGCGGTGTCTCAAGCTTTTATTTGTTCCACATATATGCATGTTTCAATCTAATAATAGCAACGCAGCTAAAGGCATTATACAAATTAAAGCACTTGATACTTTTTACACAGAATTAAATGAGGGTTATGGAGTAAAATTGATAGATTATTACTCAAGTAAATATATACTTGATTTGAGATTCTAAAATATTGAGTCGCTTACTATGAAAAATATATTGCAGAAGTAATTTTAGATAGTTAGTGAGAGTGGGAAAAGTAAGACTGTAATTGAAATTCTGGACAAGGGGGATAATTTCTATTAGGCTCTTAATTTTATTTATTAGAAAAATCTCTCTAAAAGATATTGAATAAATATGATAGTTGTAATTTGTCAATTCAATAAAAGTTAGTTAATCTTATAATAGATCATTAAAGTCAATATTATGCTCATACATCTCTCGGGGTTTTGGGGTTTTGGGGTTTTGGGG